CCTTCAAACATAACTCATTTTGACAAAATTCTGATGAAGTTGACAAACATAACCATAGCTACACATTTTGATGAGTTGAGGGACTAATAGTAATGGATTTTTAGTTGAATTACCATTGCTCTAATTTAATTAAAGTTGAGGGACCATTGCTACAATTTACTCTTTTATGTAAATAAGCGAAAAAAAAAAAAAATCAAATCGCACATCGTGCAGAGCCGCGAGCCACTCCTGCAGTGAAAAACCAAATTTTTTTCTTTTTCTTCTGGGCCTATTTACTTTGGCCCTTATGAAATCTTACACCGTATTAATAGGAATTTGGTTCCCACTTTTTCTTTATTAGCCCAAATTAGTTTGGGCCTGGCTTCTGTCAACCCACCAACTCCGTCAGATGGGCTTGCATCCTACTTCAACCTATAGTTTTGGGTCGTGACTTACTTTTTCCACTAGCTGGTTTATTGCCTAACCGATTAAATAATAATTTATTTTCTTTTGGGGCTCAAGCTCCACATGTTTTAGGGCCGTTCCCTGTACTTTCATACAAAAGGTCCCGAAGCTACCCATTTTATTATATTTGTTTTCAATTGTTTTATATATTTTGTCTTGTATATATGTGTTTGTTTGCAGGTGTTATAAACCTAAAGTTCACACTTTTAACTCGAACCTAAAGTTTCGAATAAAGTGCGTTAGAAACTTGGTGTTTCTAAAAACTCACTACTCATGTACAAACTTGAAGTTATCCATGATTAATCTACTAAAACAAACCATGTCTTAGAGCCCCAAGTGTTCTAACTTTGATGCTTATGGATGTTTTATTTCCCATAGCATCAACCACAATATTGTTTCCTTAATTTAGCAAATTGTCAAACCGTAACAAGTTTGATTTCACTGATTTGGAGTTTCTTGCAGAAACTACTTTATGTGGTACAAGATGTGAAACTCCACTTAACTATGAAATAGTTGAAAAAATCCATTGAAGCCAACAATGGCTTGGAAGAGATGAATGACACCATAATCTTCATTTGAAGACTTATGCTTGAAGTATTACAAATGGAAGTACCATGCTAAAGAGAATTACATGACACTTTGACTCGCTTCATAAAACTTTCAATCATTAAAAATGATCTATTGCATGAAGCAACATCATTGAAACCTTTCCGTCCATGAATGGGTACAATTTTGAATGAAGAATATTTTTCTCATCCTTAAGTTTACAAAGTCCTCCGATCTAATTACTGCCATGTGGCTCACTAAAAACCACAATAGTTCCGATGATGATATCCAATGGCATGCCCTTACTAGCTTGAAGTCACTCACTTTGCCTAAAGCAAAAGTGCTTCATGAAGCCTACTTTAAATTTTGAATGTGGCCTCCATGTACGAAACCTAAATCCGCAAATAGTGGTAGAATCAAGACTTTCTAAGGAGTGGCATCATGGCCAGAAGCATGATTCCTTGGCACCTAAGGCCATCTTTAATCGAAGGGGCTATGTTTAGCCCCCGTCTAGATTATAGCTCTGTAATAAATTATTTTTTAATGAACAGTGCCATACCATATTTATATACAATTTCTAACCGAAGGGAGCTATTTTTTAGTCCCCTCAATAATTTATTAATTTTAAGTTTGTTCTTTAACTTTATTGGTTAATTGAATTAGGGGAGTTTTAACGAAAATTTCGTGGTACTGTTCACTTTAAACTACCATATTTATAAATGAATAACTCTCCATATTTCTTAACTTTATGTAACCCTAATAATTTTTCGGAATGCTATGTTTCTTTCGCTTCAAAAAGGATAAACAAAAAATTAATTTTTCAGATAGGAGTTTAAAGAATGTGAAGAATTGAAATACAATGAGGTAAGATAGTATGGAAGGGTGAAAATGATGTGAACAATGGTGTAGAAATTGACACACCCCGACCGAAATCAAGGCGTGCTGGCCGTCACGTGAGGGTGGCGTAGTCATGTGCACAGTGCGGAAGCAAAAATGATAATAAAAGTACTAATAAATAAAAACCAAACTACCAAAAGCTAGTTAAAGTAACACACTAGAGTGAGACTAAAAGTGATAGACAAAATTCAGAGCACAGAAAGCCTAAGTGCAGTCCAAAAGAACGAATACTAATTACACAACACCCAAAGGTGATTCTACATTTGTGTTATTCTGTCAGAACCATCGTCAATTCCTCGTGAGCCACCAAAGCGCTTCTAACTAAAACCTGGAGAGGCGCAAAATAGAAAGTGTGAGTGGGCAAAAACAAAGCTTTTCAAAACCATTTCATTCTCAAAAGTTCTAACCTCTCTCCGTAAAACATGTTTCCCAGAAAATAGAATATATATATATATATATATATCGAAATCATGCTAACAACATTCGTAAATATGCCATATCGAATATCTCAACATAAGATGTAAGTAACCCAGGTAATGTCAATCAATGCAAATGATATATCAGCCAGAGTTACCTAACGTGACATGTACGGCTGAATCTAGAGCTCAAATCCACATCTCAACAACTATACATGCACACGAGTCGGAACCACCTAAAGTGGTCTATATGACAGGCTGGGTGTAACTAAATATGCTCAAGTGCTACGATCACGTGAAAGCTATGCGAAGTATCGCAAGTCAGCTACGAGTCGGAACCACCTAATGTGATCTGTACGACAGGCTGGCACCTACCTTGGATTCAAGGTGAGCGTGTGATGCGGGAAGTGAACGATCACGTGAAGGTTGTGCCCTAACTCTAGGCGGGAGCACTAACACCAGGGTGCAGGTTTATGAGCTCTCAATGCATCTCACATAACCACTAATTCACAACCATAATCTATAAACTTACCTGGCACTTACCTGTGTGTCCGTAGCACCAATCATAAATATTTGCAACTACTAACGCATAATTAAATAGGCAGGCACTTTGCATGGCATTTTAAAACATATAAACATTCAATTTCATTTTCTGGGAAAATTCTCACGTATATAGGTATATACGGAAAACCAAAAGCCCAATCACTGGTATGTGGAAGGGTCTTAGCCCTCAAGCCTCGAGTGACTTTGCTTGTCCTCAGGATAGGTCTCACCTATATGCGAAACAACTATATAAACGTCAATTTGATGCACATAACCAAAGCTAGGTAATAACTTCTCATACAATGCTCAAATGGGGTGTTTGAATATACCAACGTGATATAATCAACCTCACGAACATCCCCATAATTTTAAAATAATTTTCTAAGGTCTCACGCGCCCCCACGCGCCGACCAAGGCACGGCCAGACGGGCCGGGCATGCGCAGGCACGTGCCTAGCACACGGAAGGAATCCCTAACTGCGGTAGGGAATATTTCGTCCAAAAGAAAGCATATTCCGTTAAAACTAACCTGACACCTTTAACTGCCGTTAGGAATATTCCGTCAAAGTTGACGAAATATTCGTCGTCTTCTCCGGTGTTCCTCACTGGAGCTGCCGCCGGCCGTCGTTTGCATCGCCGGAAACTGGGAAATTTTTCAAATCTTCATATCTTCTTCATTTCTCAACCAAATTCCATGAAATTTGTACCAAAATGAAGCTTACAATGAGTAGAACAAAACCTTACCACTTTGAAGCCCCAAAAATGCTGGAATCTCGCCAGAGAAATCTCGCAAAATCCGGCCAACCTTAGAACTTGCTATCCCGATGTCCAAAATCCTTCAAACTTGTTCCTCGATCTTCGTGAGAAGATTCTAAAGCTCCCTATAACCTCAAAACTCGATGAAACTTCCGCGATCACGAGTGCATGAACAATGCATGAAAACTGGGTTCTCGGGTTCTCGGGTTTTCGAGGGTTTCAGGTTCTAAAAATGGTATGGATGAACTCAGGAGCTTGCAAGGAGCTCGAATCTTACCTTCTAGACGTCGATCCGTGCGTGAAAGGTTGGTTTTGAAGTTCGTCCGTACACTTGCAAGGGAAATGGAAGAAAAGCCGAGAGAAAAAAGAGAGAGGGAGCCACAGGGAAAAAGGGATGGGTGTGTGTGAGTGTGTGTGTGGTCCAAATGGCAGTCCACCAACCAAAACAAATCAAACACCCTACAACGCTAATTAACATCTAGGGGCAAAATTGTCTTTTCACACTAACGTGACAAATAATTCGGGACGGGCTGTCATAGAAATGGCTTAGATATTTATAGGAAAAAATTTGACTTTTTAAATTTCATCTGAAAAAAAAATTAAATTAAATCCAACAGCTAACTGACGTCAGCTAGCATGTGGGTTGCTGACAGTTGGGCCCAACTTTTCGGGCTGGCTAGCTAGTTAAGGATGCCCCGTCCACTAGCCATATGGTTGGATTTTGACCCGGTGGGTCCCAAATTTGTTTCGCCCAACCCTCTATTGGAGATAGGTTTTGTGTCAAAAAGGGTCATATTTTGGCTTATAACCCTTTGGCTGGTCCGGTTGGAAATGGTCTAAGGCTCAAAAACTTCAAGAATAAGGAACAATATTCCTGAACTTCAACACTATAGAATCTACTTCCGATTTGATGAAAGTGATAATTAGTGTTGCACTTGTCTATTCCCCTATTATATTGTTAAGGAGTACCATTTCCGTAGTCAATCTGTGAGACTAATTTTGCTAGCTAATTTTTGACATGTAATGACCATGTTGGCCGAACCCCTTAGTTAATTTTGGTTTACTTTGTGAGCAATTTCCTATGTTTCCGGATTCAAGTTTGGTATTTGTTTTGATTTTGAATAATGTTATGGATATTATCCTCGAATATTTGTTAATTGAATCATGGTTCTTGTATATATGTTGCCGAATTCAATTAAACATGTAATTAAGTATAAATGTGAGAAAGTTGTCCGTAAGAATGTGCTACTATGCACACTAACTTCATACCTAAACCACCCCACAAATTAATGTATATCCAAACAAGTCGTTTTTCAACCAAACTTTGTGCAGAATTTGTTCACAAACAAACTCCAGCATCACTTCCCTTGGTCCTGACATTTCTAGGCTTTGCAAGAACTACAACAATTTCCATTTCCATTTCCAGCATAAACATATAGAAAAAATAAATAAAGAAAATATGGACAAACATTTCTTCTATACAAACAGATATCAACTATGGAAAAAAGAATTCTACATTTACAGAGGCTATATGAATATATATATATATATATATATATAAATTATATATACATAATCATTGCAACTGTACGCTATCCACAGGGTAGGATGAATATGCAGCAGCCTGGAGGGCTGCTCCCATGGCTGATCCGTCTTCAGTAACCTTGAGTACGACATGCTGGGCAATATCTTCGCCTAAAATTTCCGTCAATGCTTCATGTAAGTACTCTCTAAACATTGTGTAGCCTGTATACAAACTCCCCTCCATCGCCACAACCGTTCTTCTCATTCTGTGATCGCTTCTACTTCTTCCACCGGTGATTCCACCACTCCCATCACGACCAATTTTCTTCAAGATCCCTACAATACCAGCAGCTGCCAATCGAGCAGCCCTGCGAGTCACAACGTCACACACCTTGACTATGAGCTTTCGGACTTTTAGAGGGACATCAGGAATCTGAAACGGCCAGATCACGAAACATACTATTAGAAACGAGAAAACCTCGATGAACCAAGAAATATGTCTTGTCTACCTCAAGGTTATCTCTTAAAATGCTTCCTACTTCCTCCAAGTCAGGAGTGTCATCCTCATGCATTGCAGCAATCAATGGTGTCCTGGAATTTACATAGCGAAAACAGATGAGATCGACAGTAATTACCAAGAGGGATTGTTACACGAAACAAATGATAGATGAATATCCTTGAAACAGCAACTCTAATTTCTCATCACTGATGAAAAGAATAATGGCAAAGGGAAAAAAAAAATAAATAAAAAAAACAAAAGAGAGAACCTACCGCCAATCCACTACCCTACCCCTGATGAAGAAGATTGATGTATTAAGTAAAATGACAGTAACCAAAAACTATTATAATTGTGAACTAGAAGCAAACAAATAAGGTGCATCTCCGATTATCACAAAATTATGCAAAGAAAACATCTACCAAAATATTTGCAGTTTATCCATAAATAATTGCTTGGGTTACGTTACTTATAGTGGCAGAATGATAGTAAGACAGCATCAAGGAAAAAAGAGATCATCCTGATCTTAACATTAAGTACAATTTTAACTGCTTTTGCGAACTTGAAAAATTTATATTAATTGACATTGCATGGTATTTTCACCGAGTTTTCAACGCATGATAACATTACCAAAACTTGCCCAACAATCACCACAATCAAACTGCTGTTAACAAACTGATTGCAACCACGGAAAACAAAATGGGAGGTAACAATGTTAACTATTTTTTTCTAATGGCAGTATGCAATTCAGCCAATAAAACGAATCTGTTATCAGCAAATAGCAGAGAAGGAATACCTCAAAATGAAAGGCATAGATAACTTGGAAGATATAGGCTCAAAAATATCCGACTCCGTTGACATCCTGACAATCACTCTTCTCACAACATCGCCCAGGTACATTCCCGATATCAATTTTTCAAAACCCTGAAATGTTTTTTTTGACAAAATGTGATTCTAGAACATCATATTTGGTTCAACAACTACACAATCAACCAATAAAACGAGTACGTAAATGAATCTTACCTGATCATTTGGATTAGGGCTATCAGCATCTAATTCAATATCATACACAGTTCTTGGTAAATGAGAAGACCAAAAATTTCCCCATTCCATGTTGACAACCTAATAAAAAACAATTAAATATTATTTCTAAACAATGACTTCATGTGAACAGATGGTAATGAAGAAGGCACCATCTCATCAAGGTAAAAAGAATAAAATATAAACATATGCATGTATATCTGAAGGGATACAAGAAAATGGATACCATGCCTCCAGATGCTGTAAGGAGCCCTTGAGACTTAATTATAGCATCTATCCTTTCCAAATAACAGGCATTAGTACCGGTTCCAATTATTACTGCAGCAACAGTGTCTGTATCGTGATAATGTCCAAGTGATAATGTTCCCACACTGTCATTGACCTGGTTAAGGAAAAGAACTATGTTCACAGATTTTACAACCAAAGTAGTAATCACAATCACACAAATTATTTACTGGGGCACATCCCCACAAAAGTTACATAATCGATAAAATACAAGGATTTTTTTTTTACAGAAACAAGTTACAATGCAAAGAATATTGAATTAAGGGTGCCACATCAGAAGCCGCTATCCTTTCATTTGATAGACCACTTAATCATTTTTGTTCAGTTTAATGCTTTTCCTATGTGTTTATTGATTGCAATGGTCAGCTAGCTCCCTATGTGATTTAGGGACTATGGCACATGTAGTTGAGAATTTTCCCATTCCGAACGTTCCACATTCTAAATAAAAAATTTCCATAATATTTTCCCTCTTAAAGATAAACCCCATGTTAGCACAAATTTAATCTAATAGAATATGCAAAATGAACTTAGCAATATTATTTAAAGATGAGAAACTGCATTCTTACAAGTGCTGCCACCCTCATATTCAGACCCTTCCTGGTCATTGCTTTCTCCAAGCATCCCGCAATCTCTCTTCCAACCTGACAAAACATTTTAAACCATATTTCAGGTGAGAAGCGGGAGCTCTTCCATGCATAATTTACTAAAGAACTTATTAAGAAAATTCCAGAATCATCAAATCTTCTTTACTACTTATCTTAGTTGATACAGTGGAAAATTATCAAGATGATTATTCTTTTTTTTTTTTTCTTTTTTTTCTTTTTGGTATTTGGCTTGGACCATGTCAAATCGGCTTTCTGAGGTCAGGTCATGCATAAATCAAAACTCAACCTAAAAACTGAACCTCAAACTGATTAAAATACTGCTCCATGTAGGACTTATTATGCATCAGCAATAAGAAATGTTTTTTTAAGCAACTATGCTCTTGCCTTCACAAAGTTCCCTATAATAGTTGAGTTTCCTTGAAGTACAATATACTGGACACCATGCAACTAACCATGTCTTCAATCGCAAACCCTTTTGTCCATTTTAATAAAGTGCCCGATGAAACAGAAATTTGTTTCACGGGAAAAGAGAACGTAAATCCAAGCTCCCTTCTTCTGTCCAGTGAAAGCTTAGAAACATCTCTCTCTCTTTCAACAAACTCCTTTAATGATGAAGCAATAAAATCAAATAGATCCTGCAGGAAATTGAAACACATCAGCTTCATGACAGCAGAACGTTGAAAGTTTTCAAGTATGTGCTAAACAGTTATAGAGATCTGAATGTACAAATTCAGTCACCTCGCTTGTCCCAGTCATCAAATCCTGAGGAATGGCTTGTCGACACACATCATGTTCCAGGGTAGAGGACCTCGTACCTCCAAGCTTAACCCGCAAGACCCTAAAGTTAGTACCGCCAAGATCTAGTGCATAATAAGTTCCTTTCTCACTCCTGACCCAAAAGATAAAAAAAGTAAAACTAATCAGTCTCATTTTCTTTTTTACAACAAACAATACTTATAAAGAACTAAAAGAATATGCACATACATAAACCAACAAACTGTCCAACCATACAGAAACTTTTAGCACTGTCAACAAGCTTAAAGGCAACCTACATCAGATCTAAGCTAAACAAAATCTTAAATGAAAACATCTTGCCAATTTGCATAATCAAAGAAGAATCTTACACCTTGAAACTCAAACGAAACCAAAGCCTATAAAGAAGTCCAAAATCAAACTGTATCTAACAAAAGCTCCACACCCACCTCACCATATTTTTTCAAAATTTCTTCTATTTGGTTATTCACACCACCCAAAATACAGCCATCGCACTAATCACACAAGACTTTCAACTTACTCTTCAAATGTAAATCTAATGCTTCTCGCCAAACAATGAAATGCATGTTTCCATTTCTTAAATAACCATTTGCAGTGATGCTAAAGCATGCTAATACGAAGTAGAAAATTCCACACTGTTATTGTACACGTACCATCACCATTACAAAAATAAGATATTGGAACACTTTTTCAAATTATAGATTCAGAGGTAGTGGGGTCTTCTTATTCTGCAACTAGACATTGCATCAATCATTGCCAAACTGGATGGATAATTGATATAAACCTAAAAGCAGATAATGGTCCACATTTCTAAATAAATAATGACTTATCAACCATATTTAGGTCTAAGCTTGTGGCCAACAGTATTTAGAGATAAATGGCGCAATCAAGTCCTAGTTGCAAACTTTGATAGTGTCAACGAGGGACTTTAGAGTTCCGTGCAACTTAGGATAATTTTGTTAGGATGCACTACAAAAGTCAGAGAAAAAAACCTAGAAAAGGCTAGATGCAAAAAATTAGAGGGAACTTTGAAATGACATTTGAAAGTCCTTTGTTTAGTGTCTTTGTACTGCATTTGCAGTGTTTTGTAGTAGTTGAGTAGTTCATGGTAGTGTTCTTGTAGTGCATATTTAACAATCGAGTCTAAGGTTAAATGAAATTTAAAATCCCTCATCCAAACATAACATAACTGAATGTGAAAGTACTGTGGAATAGATTTTGAGTTAATGCAAAATAAAAGATGTCAAATACTTGTAGATAAACAATACATTGAATATTAACACCACACTCCGAAAGACTTTCACTCTACTCATATTGCTAAATTTTCAATTAACATACTTATGCCCAGCACAGTACTGATTAAATTGATCAATCAGTGTCGAATGTCAAAACACCATGGAAGACTAGAATATTATAGAAAATAATGAAAATTGAATAATGTACAATCCTGCCAATTGAAGAACTTGAATAGCGGTTCAATCGAGAAGAAAGGCAGAATGAAGACCAACATCCAACAATTCCAAAATAGCACCTTGGCTAAGATATTTAAACGAGGGTAGAACTATTCGACGACACACATCAGATAGCAATATGAAATGCATACAAAAGTGGGGGAACGAAACTACAGTACCACAAGATAAGTTGAACAAGAACAATGACAGTAAGAGAATTGTAACAAAACAACAAATCATAAACCCACGTAAGCTTCAAACAAATACATCCCTAAATACCAAAACCAAAACATTCAAAATAAAGCTACTTTCTTGCCCCAAATAATCAAACAAACGCAACCAAACATAAATGATAAACCCATTAAACTCCAATCAGAAAAAACCCCACCAACATAACCACCTAAATTTTCATCAAACCACAACATTACCATCTCAAATCACCAACAACCCAAAAACCCAGTTGATTAAACAGATAAAGCGAAAATCCCCATTGAAGAAATATCAAGCGGAGCATTCAAGACTATTACCCACTGGGTAGTTTATCCACAAAAGTGAGCAGCATTTTGAGTTTGGAGCCACCGTCAGAGGCCAAACCGGCGTGCATCTCCACCGCCATGGCGTCCACCACCTGCCTCAACCTCCCCACTGTGGTTTCACAGCTCTGCTCGAGGTCCTTCAAAACACCAACCACTCTGCTCCACTTCCTTCTGCTCCTTATCCTCCGACCCACCACCACTGTCGCCACCGCACACGCTGCCACCGCCACCCCAACCGCCAATTCGAGCGCCACCTTCCCCATACCCCTGACTTATACACGCCCCCTGTCCCAATTCAAAATCGCACCGCCAAACGGCGTCGTCTCATCGGCCTTCCAGTGAAACGACACCGTATCACCATGAACGCGGACCGGCTTATGTGGCGTATGGCTTTTGAGAGAGCTCTCTCCCTCTATCACTCTCAATCCCCCCAACGGTCGAAAGTAGGGGTTCGGATGGTTACAACAGTTTGAGTTTATCGACGGAGAATGGTCGGAGTTTAATCTCCGGTGGGTTTTCCGGCGAGAATGGTCAGAAAAGTGGTGCGGATGAGCCCCTCGAGAAAAGGCGCTAGAGAGAGGGAGAGGTGGAGAGAGAGGGGCGTTGCGACTTGCGATTCGAAGCCAGTGCTGTTGGAATGCGAATCGGTGGATACTTGTGTATAGTCTCCGAAATGACAAAACGGCCCTTGAGAATCATTTCGAAGCCGGATTTGTCCCATTATCGGCGGCAATTTGTCAAACCTAGAAGATTATGCGGAGGTTAAAAAGGAAATTCAGCCACTTAGTACAACATTTTGTGATATTCATCTTTAATTATAACAAAGGAATGTTAAGTTTGATTTTTTTCAAAAACGAATTTGAATCACATTATTACGAATTTGAATCACATTATTACGAATTTGGTATGATTTTTGCTCGTGGGATAATAATTTGTTTGATTTTGGCTTATACTTCCAACCAACAAATGTCTTAGTCCATATTAACTAATGTTTTTTTGAATATTCCATTACATGTACCATCGAATTTAACAAATATGATTAATTATTTCTTTGTTCTCATTAATATGTAACAAAATGGAACAACAAGAATTACTATTTGATATACACATAAAACCGATAACAAAAAACTAATTAATAACAACTCAACCATAATTCACAATGAATAAATATTTTGATAAAGAAATAATTTTTACTCTTATTCAGCCAACAGTTTGAAATATACAAAAGTATTCCAAAATTAACTTTGGATGCAAAAGCCGACCTTGTGTCTTTTGCGATGGAAAAAAAACAAATATTTGAAAATTACTTCTCGAAACTCGAATGGAATCGCCCTTATGCCACTCTAGTAACACCAAATAGTATACCAACTAAGTTCTTGTTTTTTCGACCCAAAAAAAAAAAAAAAACACTAGGTTCTTGTTTAATGATGAGGGTTGGAGAGGATCAATTTACCACAAGAAAAACAAAATGGGTAAAACCGGAACAAAAAGTTGTGTATGGAAGGGTTTTGGCCCCTCTTTCCAATCAAATATTTATTTATTTTAAAACAACGGGGGATTTTTATTTTTATTTTATTTTGTGTGTGTGTGGTGGGGGGGCGTGGGTATGTTGGCAGTGCCATACTGGATGACAGCTGCGTGCTGAAAGGAGGAAACAGCAGCGGTAGCTGAGTATGCGCCGCCGTACAATTGCCAGCTGGCTCCCGCTAAGACACAGCTATCCTCACTGTAAAGCCACCACCTCAGAACAAGAACAAGTACTTCCTCACCGTTTTCCCCATAACGTCCTATATATATTTTTATATTTGAAAGATTACAATATTTTACAGCTTGCATGGAAGACACATTTTGTATTGACTGACAGTCTAACAGTGTCACGTTTTTAATTAAAATAATAGTACAATATGTACTATGTGAAATGGGATTTGGATCCTCTCCGGATCCTCTACCTGGGGATCCCAGAGATCAAGATACAAGGATCGTTTATTAAAGATCGTGTGGTCACAGTTAAATGTTTTTTATATTTTTAAAAGTAAAACAATCTCGTTTTGCGTAAAAAAAACATTTAATTATGGTCGTACGATCTTTGATGAACGACCCTTGTATCTTGATCCCGGGCTCCCCAGGGAGGGGATCCAAAGAGGATCCAAATCCTGTGAAATGGACCGCATTCACTTGTTCCAAAATTTAGGTAAACATTAGTTTCTTCGAAGTGGGAACATAATGTACTATAATTTACTCTTAAAAGTCCCTTGTTCGACGTGTACGTAGAACTTCATGCTAGTCCCCTCGTTTGATTGTGCTCAATGAATTGATTTTTTATCGAGTACTTACACACTTGTCTCATTGTAAGTCCATGCAAACAGGAGGTGTTAACGTTAAACCGATTGAGTAGATGTGGCAACTAGGGCTGGGTTCGGTTCTAATCGGTTCGGTTTTTTCTCAAAACCGAAACCGAACCGAAATTTCGGTTCGGTTCAATTTTTTTTCGGTTTTTTTCGGTTCGGTTTTTTTTCGGTTCGGTTTTTCTCGGTTCGGTTTCGGTTTTTTTCAGTTTTTTTTTTTTTTTTTTTTTTTCTCCCTCCAAAATTATTAAAAAAAAAAAAAAGGAAATATGAAAGTTCACATTCATATTAAGAGGCCAGGCGGAATGAAAAATAAGGAGGATGAGGGTTAGGGTTACAGTTAAGGGTTTTGTTAAAAAGATTAAAAATTTAAAAATAATCTCACAAATCCTGGAGGCATGAGGGTTCAAACCCATGCCTCCATGCTTGTAAAGTTTCACTGAAACCAACTTGGCAACAGGTTCTGTTTCGTTATGATTGTATGACTAAACTATTTATAAATATTCAAAAAAATTATATATATATATATATATATATATCGGTTCGGTTCGGTTCGGTTCGGTTCGGTTCGGTTCGGTTTCCGAGCCTCAAAAACCGAAACCGAACTGGTCAGATTCGGTTCGGTTCGGTTTGACAATTTCGGTTCGGTTTTTTTTCGGTTCGGTTTTTTTCGGCCTCGGTCTGGTTCGGTTTTCGGTTTTTTTCGGTTTTCGGTTTTTTGAACCCACCCCTAGTGGCAACATTTTGGACAAGTAGAGTGCTTACAAAAGGAAAAGGATTCTCGCCTGATCCTTTACCTGAGGATTCAGGAATTCCCGTAATCATGTATGTTCATTGTACATCGTACGGTCTGTTTTTGTTAGGTACTATTTATATTTAATTTAAATTTTAAATTTTAAAATAATTTTTAACCGTACGATATATAATGAACTGATACGATTACAGGATCCTTCCTGATCCCGAGGAAAAAGATCCTAAACACCCTACATGACGTGGATGTGGAGATAGTTGTAGTTGTGGCACAATACATGCAATCCAGCATATTAGTCTACTAAATTATAGATTTTCTATGTGGCAAATTCTCATCCATATATCTATTTACATATACACACACACTAGCCTTTATACACGCGCGTGTAAAAGATATTTTTTTTAATCACGACATGCTATGCGCAACTTATACGTTTTAAATGTATTTATATGCGTAAATTGACAAAAAGAAAGTCAAATATTTGAAGTAAATGAATAATTGATGAGTCAATATTTTACTATATATTTTACCTTATTTTTAGTATTAATTTATTGGTTATTTTGGTAGAATTTTGATACTTTGATTTATATTCTTAATGTAAGACATTCGATTTCTTTTGGAGCAAAAAGGGATCAAACGGATGAATCTTTGAGTGATTCCAATTGGAGGACGCTCGTGAGTTGTTCAAGATGATTGTATCATAATTTCATATTTATCTACGAAGCCGTTTGACCGTGGAAATGAAATAAAGACCCAATGCGCAACTTTCCCAAATTGACATTTTTAGACGTTTTGGGTATTTTGGAGGTCAAGATGACATATTTTGATGAAGATTCCTTTTGAGGATTTGTAGGTGACAACTTCAGCTTTCAAAAGAGACCTTTTAGGACCAAATCAGAGTTGATTTGGTCAGTCAAAAGTTTGATTTTCTGAGAAGTCCGGATTTCAGTTTAAATAGGAAACCTTTTATTTTCTATTTTATTATTTTATTATGTCTCCTAGTTTTATTCTAAGACCTTTTAGAGTTTTATTTTGTAGTAGTATTGTGAACACGAAAGATTCCTTGAAACAAGAAACCAGAATAACGTGTACAAAATAATATTTTTGTGTTTATGATTTTTGGGGTTACGATCTCTCTTAAATTTGGTCCTCTGATTCTATCTCCGTAAGATCTAGATTTGTTGATCCAAGGGCCGTCGAGGCTTGATCTTGGATGAACAGTTGTAAGTTTCTTCAAGGGCCTTCGGGGCTTGATCTTGAATGTTGATGGATGAGCGGATCTTCAAGGGCTTTTGGGCTTGATCTTGAATGTTGATGGATGAGCGGATCTTCAAGGGCTTTTGGGCTTGATCTTGAAGAATAGATGTGTGGATTTGTTTGTTGATCCAAGGACCGTCGGGGCTTGATCTTGGATGAACAGTTGTTGAACGGATCTTCAAGGGGCGTTGGGCTTGATCTTGAAGAATGGGTGTATGGGTTTGTTGAGGTTGTTGATCCAAAGGGCCGTTGGGGCTTGATCTTAGGATGAACGGATGATGAATGATGAACACTTTCTTCAAGGGGCCGTCGGGGCTTGATCTTGAGTTGGTGGGAGTTCTTCAAGGGCCGTTGGGGCTTGATCTTGAAGGAGGATTTGACGAAGAACGAAGAGTGCTTTCTTGATCCTTCGGAATTCTTGGGAATTTGGATGCTTGAGAGCTTTGGAGTTTCAAAGCTTCAAGGATTTGGGGAATTCTCTTCCAATTTGGGAGTAGAGAAATGTATTTGTGAATTCCTTGATGCTTGATACCTTGATGGAGAAGCCTATTTATAGGCTTTGAGAATGAATCACCACCACAAAATATTTTTTTCCTTTCCAAGCACCATTGCCTAATTTTCCCACTTAATGCAATATTGAAATTGAAGTGGTGTAACTTATGGCCTAATTTCCCACTTAATACCATTTTAAACTTGAAGTGGTCTAACTTATGGCCTAATTTCCCACTTAATGCAATATTGAAATTGAAGTGGTGTAACTTATGGCCTAATTTCCCACTTAATACCATTTTAAACTTGAAATGTGTATGCTTTGTCATTGTCCAAATGAGAAAAACTTGCTTTGATCCGTAATGGATTGAAGTGTGCTTACCTTGTCATTGCCCAAATTGAGAAGAAAAACCTTGTTTAATCATCCAAGGGTATTTCTTCCTATTTTGTTGAGTCACATGCCATGTGTACAATTTGTACGACACGTGGCGTATGCCATGTATGCCTTGACACGTCAAAACTTTAATGCGTTGGGTGAACATTTGTTTTACTGAAATTTCGATGTCTACAAATGCCCCCACTTCAAGGCGCGTCGTAGACATGTGCTTGTCACGTGTAGAAGATGCGTTTTGAAGTCCCTTAATGTAGATGTCAACCCAAGGGCCGTCGAGGCTTGATCTTGAATTGGGCTGGAAATTTCTTCAAGGGCCATTGAGGCTTGATCTTGAGTTTGACTGGAAGATTTTTTGGTTTCCTCCAATCGTTGATTTTCCACAGGCTTAGTCTTGAACTGGGCTGGAAATTTCTTCAAGGGC